GGTTGGCAGGACCCCCGGCAGGGGGGTAGACGGCGGGACCTCCAACGGGACAGGACAAAGGGTTGGCAGGACCCCCGGCAGGAGAGTAGACGGCGGGACCTCCAACGGGACAGGACAAAGGGTTGGCAGGACCCCCGACAGAAGAGTAGTCGGCGAGGCCTCCAACGGCACAGGACAAAGGGTTGGCAGGACCCCCGGCAGGAGAGTAGTCGGCGGGGCCTCCAACGGGACAGGACAAAGGGTTGGCAGGACCCCCGGCAGGAGAGTAGTCGGCGGGACCTCCAATGGGACAGTACATGGATTGGTAGGACCCCCGGCAGAGGAGTAGTTGACGGGGCCTCCAACGGGACAGTACTTGGAGTTGGCAGGACCACCAGCGGAACCTCCAACGGACCAGGACATTGGGTCGGGACTTGAGACGTGACTCAAGGGGGAACTCGAGAGGGGAACTCGAGAGGGGACTCGAGAGGGGACTCGTGGAGGGACTAGAGAAGGGACTAAAGGAGGGACTAAAGGAGAGACTAGAGGAGAGACTAGAGGAGGGAACTCGAGAGGGAACTGGAGAGGGGACTCGAGAGGGAACTGGAGAGGGGACTCGAGAGGGAACTTGAGAGGGAACTGGAGATGGGTCTAGAGAAGTGACCTGAGGAGGGACTAGGGAAAGGACTAGAGAAGGGAACTCGAGAGGGGACTCGAGAGGGGAACTAGAGAGGGGACTCAAGGAGGGACTAGTGGAGGGACTAGAGAAGGGACTAAAGGAGGGACTAAAGGAGAGACTAGAGGAGGGAACTCGAGAGGGAACTGGAGAGGGGACTCGAGAGGGAACTTGAGAGGGAACTGGAGATGGGTCTAGAGAAGTGACCTGAGGAGGGACTAGGGAAAGGACTAGAGAAGGGAACTCGAGAGGGGACTCGAGAGGGGACTCGAGAGGGGACTAGAGGAGGGACTAAAGGAGGGGACTGGAGAGGGGACTGGAGATGGGACAAGAGATGGGACTAGAGATGGGATTAGAGATGGGATTAGAGATGAGACAAGGGAATTGACTAGAGGAGGGACTTGAGTAGGGACTAGAGAAGGGACTAGAGAGGGGACTAGAGGAGGGACTTGAGATTGAACTCGAGAGGTGACTCGAGAAGAGACTAGAGAAGGAACTTGAGAGGAAACTGGAGAGGGGACTAGAGAGGTGACTAAAGGGGAAACTGGAGAAGGGACTAGGGAAGTGACTAGAGGAGGTACTTGAGAAAGGACTTGAGAAAGGAATTGAGTAGGGACTAGAGAAGGGACTAGAAAAGTGACCTGAGGAGGAACTAGGGAAGGGACTAGAGAAGGGACTATGGCAGCTGGGGCCGGGACTGGGTCTGGAACCATGGCTGTTGGGGCCGAGACTGGGGCCGGGACCATGGCTGCTGGGGCCAGAACTGGGGCTGAAACCATGGCTGCTGGGGTCTGTACTAGGTCTGGAACCATGGCCGGAAACATGGCTGCTGGGGCCTGTACTGGGGCTGTAACCATGGCTGCTGGGGGCTGAACTGGTTCTGGAACCCTGGCCCTTTGGGCTCGTGCTGCCAACCTGGCCTTGCGACTCCTTCCTTTAGGAGCCGTTTGGAGGCTCCGTGGACCTCCAAAGGCCAGACGAGTACCAGCTAATGGCTCCTGGACAGTAGCAAACACTGGGTGAGAAGCAGGGGCTGACGCCAGACGGACCACACCAATGCGTGTGGTATCAAAACGGGAGTTGGGAGGCCTGGGGCTGTCAGGCAGGGGATAACACACCGTGAGAAAATCCAAAATCCTGCCCGATAAGAACTTAACCAAGCCTGGCTTCTCCATCGTAATCCGGCGTGCCTCTGCCAGAACAGCCTCTCGCTGCTGAACCCTGGACGCTCCCAACCATCGATACGAGCAGTCATCCAAAGCAAAGGAAAACTCCAATAGCTCCTGCTCAAAGGGATCTGCTGGGCCCATATTTATGGTCGGGTTGTAATGTTACGGTGTGCAGGAAGCAGGACCCAAATGCAGATTTAAGTGACAAAATAATTCCTTTATTTCAAGGCTACAAATCTCCAGACAGAACAGAACACTTACCGCAGTTTACTCACAACACAAGACAACCCGACAAAGAGAGACAGAAAACCCAGAACTTAAATACACCCAGGACTAATCACATAAACACGAGACAGGTGAGGAGGGAGGAGAAAACACAGAGGTACCAGGTGAACACAATCGGGGAGGGAAACAGACAGAAAGCAAACAGGCAGGAAACGGGGGTGAACACTTTACAAAATAAAACAGGAAACCCAAAGATAGAAAAAGACAAGAAAAACACCAACACAGACAGATCCTAACAGAAAGAACTTAACCCTGTGAAAAAACTGCCAACTAAAAATGGCAACATTTAAAAATATGTTGCTTTTCAGTGAATCGCAGTTAGAGATTATTGGTATTTTACTAATATCGCTCCATTTAACCTGTTTTGCCAATTATCTGAATATTGTCATAAGTAAGCTAACCAAGGCAGTTTTTGATTTGGACATACCTGGCAAACATTTGAACTCCACTCAAGGCACTTTTGAAGTTCAGAAGTGATTAACCAAGTGATTCCTCCTCTCTGCATTCAAGGTCGAGAGGTGCTGGCCCCTGCTGATTGGGCCTCCTTTTAAGTCATCAATTATTCTGAACTGTGTTAGTTTACCCTGACATCTAATCCTGAGACATTCTGAGTGAAGATGAATCAGAAACATCCCTCTTCTATTATTGCCAACCATATATTATTTGGCCAAATTAACAATTTTGGTCAAATTTTGGGTCGTTGTAATGCACCAAATATGCTTATAATGCTATTGCTATTTTACAGTATAAATAGTTTTTGGCCTACCACTGATAGTATATGAACAGATATTATATTTGTGATAGTATTTGATAGATGGAAGGACCTGGAGGATTTGTATACAGCATATTATTCATAAAAAAAATATGTATACAGTACTGTTATATAGATAACACATTTATTTTCTAAAACTTAAAAAGGATTTCCATTTTGGCCAAACTTACGATCATGTTTTAAACTTCGATAGAAAACAGAATGAGCAGATTCAGTAATGCTGTGTAATGAAATACAATTCACAAAGTGATTTTGTATTGACTTCCATTAAGATTGAGGAAAAAACATTAAAATACATGGAGCAGAGGCCGAGATATTCTGACTTGTGTCAGGGTCCTGACCTCTGACCTCGGAAGAGAGCAGTAGGACATCTCTTTTCTTGACAGAGTGACACGAGATGTTAATGTGGGCGAGTAATCAGCCCTCAGGCCTTTTTTAGACTAAAGTAAAAACTGTCATGACCTCAGAGGATAACATCAGCCAACTGTTTTGTAAGCACAATTGCTTCACACACACACACACACACACACACACACACACACACACACACACACACACACACACACACACACACACCTGTCTTTTATTAGACGGCCACTGCCATCCTGGACTCTTCTTCTTTTACTGTTCTTTGCGAACAACAAAGGTAAAAAAAGGAGTCCAATGGAGGTGTTTCAGGCAGGGGGGATTGTGGGAGAGAAACACTTTAGGAATTTTACAGACCATTTACATGCACAGAAACCTATAACACACTACAGGAAGAGGAAACCCCTAAAAAGCATAACACGGCCCCTAAGGGTAAGCAATAAATATCACCATAAAACCTCTAGCAATGGATTACTTACATTTAGGCAATCATTTTTTTATAATATGAGTTTTCTAAAATGTTAAACTTAAATATGCAGATGAGTGATCTTATTAGTTATTATAATTTATGTAATGCACATTTTTCGTGAATTAAGGAGAAATCTTCAGACGCAAAAATACAAACTTGGGAGGAAAAAACACCTAAATTAGTATTTAGGTTTTTCTTTTTTCACTATTCTAAAAGAAGACATCTTATGAAATGGAAATAGCCCAAAAGTCTAAAAATATACCAGTGTGTGAAATAATGTCTACCTGTAGTGTCTCATCCAACGTAGAAAAACCACAAAGCATGATCTGTATAACAAGTAAGCATATTTAGCATTCTAAAAGTGTGTTACATTCAAGTCAAATACAACATCATACACACATATAAAGATCAGCTGATATGTGCACTGTCTTTAATAGTCATACAAATATATTTCATACATACTTTTTTAATATTTTAAAAACGTGGTAGAAAAAATATTTCCTTAGGATGTGTATGACAACCAAACAACATGATAACATCACAAAAGATCATAAAAAAAAACAGTTTATAGGAAGAACAAGGAGTGTTTTACTTTGCCACAACAAACACAAAAACACCACGTAATACTTGGCCACTGTATATATTGTATATACTTTTCCTCTGTATTAACCTGCGTATTAACCTTAAAATAGAAGCAGTTGCTTAAGTAGAATTGTTTCGTTTTTTTCCCATTTTCATATTTTCCCCTAACTGGTTTCCATGTCCCATGATTATCCGTCATTGTGCATATTATTTGGCAAATGTGTTAAGGATTATTAACATGTTATATCGTCATTTTGTACCTCTACTGTGACCTGTTACATGTTTAATGTTCACAAAGGTCTTTATTTTCTCATACTGCCTGTGCTGCAGCACCTCTTTTCCCCCTCTGTCTGAAACCAGAGCCCAGTCTGACATGATTGGTTAGCTGACCGGCTTTGCTGTTATTGGTCAACTGCTTAGAGATATCCCGCCTGATGTACAGTGTGATGGAGCACCAGCCAATAGAAGCGTGCGGGGTGGCACCATGATACGGAAGTAAACTACAATGGAAGCGTTTCAGGCAGTGTGTGGGAGAGAAACTTCCTGTGGCGTGAACTTTGGGGATTTTAGCCTTTGCAGACAATTTACATCCACAAAAACTATATAACACACTACAGGAAAGGGACATCCCCAAAAGTCTCAAAGGGCACCTTTAAGACCCAGCGCAACTGTGAATCACTGTACTGAACCCAACCTGAGACCCAAAGTTACAATTTAGCTTTATTTAATTAATTTCTAACAGTTAGCTTGCCAAGCTAAAGCAGTGCATTGGATACATCATGGGCACTGCAAATCATTTTTTAACAGGCGGCACACATGGGCAGATTATTAGCACGTTCGACAGAGTAAAGTCAGATATATTATAATAAATAATATTTTTAACTGTAACAGTTTGAACATATACATTATGGTGTGATCCAGACATGAAACCCACAGCTGGACAGGTAGTAGAATTCTAGCTCTGAGTGCTTTCTGCTTGCTTGGTTTGTCTTGACATTGTTAAATACCGTTTGGATATAACATTTTAATAGAATACTGTTCAAAGATATAAAATCAGCCACGTTCATTACCCTAACGTTCTTTTTAAACCAAGCTCTAATAATTGCAATTTAAATAGAAAGTTTATAAACACATGTTTTATACTTTTACTCTTCTTGTTACAGGCCTAATATGAAAAATAGAGATATTTTAGGTTTTGAGATATATTGTGTCATAATGTACTTTTTCACATAGGTTAATACACAGGTTCTGACAGAGGAATATAATCAAAGTATTGTGACAGATTGTCCATTTGAGTTTTTTAGAATGCTTCTTAAAAAAGATAACCACAAGCTCGTAATCCAAACAATTAAATAAAAAGACAGCATTGTAATTTATAGTTTAGGGTCTTGCTCTCCTCCCCAGAGATGTCCCTAGTGCCCTTCCACGGCTGCTTGCCATCTGATACACCTACTGCTCCAACCTTCCCCAAAACAAGTGACCGCTCTTTCTTGGCATCTTTATCCCTGTGGTGACGGCGGTGCACGCTGCTCCTGGGGGGAATGCCGCGAGGTCATGACTCTGGATTTTTCAGGGGGACAGCCGGTTGCTAAAATGATGTTTTGATGGACAGAATGTTCTCCTTTATCCCCCAGCTGTCTAGGAGTCTCCAGTGAACCAGTCCTCATTTTCATGTTGATTATCTCAAATCTGTGGGGGGGTGCGTGGGGGGGGGGGGGGGGCGTTTAGGCAGGAGAAATGTTTGAAGCACTGTCTCACTTTCATACTTTTTCTGTGTTTAAAGCGAAAATCGACATCTTATCTATGTGCTCTTATTTCTCTGGACTTGTTTAGAAGTTCTCATCTTGTTTTAAGTATAATATATCAGCTGTATTAATTGTACTATATATAGTATAAAAATGTACTAATATAAGTATGGTCAAACAAGAGCCTTCACACACAACATAACATAACTTTCATTTTACAAAATCCATGTCTCATTGTACTTCAGTGCATCATTTCCACACTTAAGGGACTGCACAAACATGTTTTTCTTTTAAAACCCATCAATATCTTCTTTAGACCGTCCCCTGAGTTGAGTTGATTATAATAAGTACATAAACACATTTTTGTGCAGTCCCTCACATAATAATATATGACTGACATAGTGATGCAGGACATGACATGGATGATTGATGATCGATGATACTAAAACATAAAACAAGACAGCGCATCATCAACTTAAGTGGAAACCCCAACCATGATCACAGCTTGAACAAAGGAAAGCTCAGTGTTTTACATGGCAGCCCTTTGAGGTTTGTCACACACTTTATGGATACCCGGAATGTTTTGAATGCGATTATTGAACATTGTCAGTTAGGGGGATGCGATTCACATATGTCCAACGTCTATGAAGTTTTTGTCCCCCAGACTGAGTCAATAACACCTATCCAAACCGATACTTCGGCCAGTATTTGACCTGCGTACGTCTCGTGGGTGTTCTTGGAAGGACAGCCTTCGCCAGTGGAGGTTTGGGCGGTAGTGGCGGTGGGGTTTTCCTCCTCTCTTTGCTCCTCTCAGTGATCGTGAAGCCACGCTCGCTCTTGTCATGCAGGTCGACCCTGGGCAGGAAGTGAGTGGAGACATGCTGGGATTTAACCCGGGGACTGGAGCCCATTTTAGCTTTCCCTCTCTTATTGAGCGCCACAAACCAGTCACGACCAGTCCTGTGGTTCCTGTGGATTACTGAGGCGTAAGTGTTGTAGCTGTTCTCCTGGAATCGCTCCCTGAACTTACAGTCATCAGTGAACCATTCCTGCAAAAGAAGGACAACATAAGGTATTATTACACGGCTTTGAACACTCGATTCTGATTAGTGAATCTGGACATTCCAGCGGTTGTTAATTGTTGCTAACAATCCGCTGATTAGGAGAACAGACAACTCAAGGGACTGACTATATGCAGCAAGAAGTCCAATACATTTGTAACCCCAGCTCTGGATAACAAATAGTTTTCTCCATCAGAAAGCACCATGGAATAATTTTTGAATGTTCACTTTTATATTTGTGGAGAGCACACAACTGTGGATTCACGATGGCTAAATTGTCCCCATTAAAGAAAAAAAAACAGGGCAAGAGAAGGAAAGAGGTTAAAAGACAGAGTCATAACTCGATCAGTACTGCCGCCATTTTAAGTGATGTAGCAGTCGTTGCATTTACCAGTACCATTGGTACTTTGTTAATATATAAAATCATGTTGAATCAACATGATTAAAAAACCTTTGAATCTGCAAGTTTCTTTATTGTTCCACGTGTTCTGACTTCATTATACTGGAACTGTCCTCATGTAAACAGGGCTCAGCTGCAGAACATATGGGATCTTTGTTTGCGTGCTACCAGCTAACCCTGAGTTACTCTTGTAAGCTGCCTCATAATTGTTTTTTAATTGGGGTAAGAAAAAGTAATGGCTCCTATCCCTTTACAAAAAAGCCAACACCAACAAGCATCTGGAAGCTGACTCCTTCCAGATTCTCCCCACTGATTACATTTAATGTCCTTGTTAATACTGATCTGACAAATGGCACACACACTCATGCACATTCGCTGCTACTGTGAGAAAATTGAAATGTTCTAGGTGCTTGCTGTTTTGTCTGTAGGCAGGATTACAAAAAACTACTGGACCGATATTCAAGAAACTTAGTGGAAGGGTATAAATGATTAGAGCAAGCAACAACAGTGAAGTTTTGGAGTAGATCTGAATCATAGGCAGATACACATTATTTGGAAACTTTTTTAAAAGGGACATGTATGTGCTCCATCATGTTGTTTCCATATGACTTTAACTTAATGAATACATCAACTTCTCTGGGACTCTGGAAATAGGAACATCCAAGGTCTGAGCTCTCCGAGTGCCAGTCTACTTTAGTGTATGTCATTTGTTTCCCTTTAACATATCCCTCAAAACAGGTGATAGGATGATATAGTGTAAAAGTAAGGGACTGTGTGCTCTAAAGCCTTTCCGATTTGCAGTAGAACTAGGGCATCTGCATATGAGACACACTTTGTTTCATTTTGTAACAGGTTTTCTATTTTTAATTCATTTAAAGGTCACCTATTATGCAAAATTTACTTTTTGATTTCTTTTATACATACATATGTGTCCCTGGTGTGAAAGGAGACTCACAAAGTGTCAGAAAAATACAAATGTTCCCTCTCTGTTTTCCTCCTTACCCACATCTCTAAAAACGGGGGTTCAACGGAGCTGATCAAGATTTTCTGCAGACTTGGCGTCATTTCTTGGCAACGTCCCTCCCACGTCCCAACCTATCGTCTCCCATTTACAGTCGGCTAGCTGGATCCCCTCCTGCAGCTGTGTGTCAGTGTATTTAGCAGGATGTCTACGGGACTTGTAGAGTAAAGTTGTTATATATATATATACATATAATGGCACTGTTCTAGCGGTAAACACTGAAGAAAGAACATGTCAAGCTATGTGCTGTATCAGAAACAATGCACGGCGTTAAGGCTGTGTCTTCCTGGTCGAATGTACTTATTGTAAGTCGCTTTGGATAAAAGCGTCAGCTAAATGCAATGTAATGTAATGTAATGTAAGATTGTCTGTGTTCACATTAGCAAGCATTGCTCAGAGCTAACGCTGTAGAGAATATGTGTAAAGAAGCCGGAACTCCATACTGTTTCAGAATTAATGCTTGATGGGGTTTGGAACATAATATGGCGTTTAATCACCGCAGCGTTTAGCTGAGTTTCTGCCGGTAGACAGCCTTCTCTTCACATAGCTCACTGTTTGCCTGCTCTCCAAAGGGGCGTGGCTAGCAGCAGCTCCAAAGGGGCGTGGCCAGCAGCAGCTTGGTAACATTTACTGTAAAGGGCCGGACTCAGAATCAGCACTTTTGTAACAGGGCTGAAATAGAGGGGTATGAGGCATGGCTACAATGGGTGATCTGTTTGGTATTTTGAGCAAAACACTTCAGAGACATGTTTTGTATAGATATGGCCTTATAATATATTGTTCAAATATAGCATAATAGGTGAGCTTTAATGTAAGTATGTCTAACAGCTTTCTCACACAATAGCTGATCAAGAAGGAAATCCAAATAAGAATCAGAAGAATCAGAATCAGAACTTGACTTGACTTGATGTCATGGTGCATACATCAAATATTAAACAAAAAATCTAAAAAATGTACACCGATAGCGAACTATATTAAGAACACTGCAACACACTGTAAAATGAAATGGAAGACTGATGTGCGACCTGTTGCTGTATGGAATGACCAAGAATAAAGGGAGAAAGAAAATAAATTGTATTTCTAATGAAGTTTGATCTCAACCTCACTTCTCACTGAACAGCCCCTGTGTTGTTAACATATCTTCTGATTGTGATCTGATGGCGTTAGCTGCTGCAAACTGACACCGCTCCGAGCATTTGTCTTTCATCCTGCGGCTGGGTTTCAAAGTCATCTAAATGACTTTCCTTATCTCTGAGATGCTTTGACTGACAGCAGCAGACCGTTCTTTGTTCTGGTCTTAACTCATTAGGGACTGTGTCTTAACTTCATTCAGGAAGTACTTCTAAATGAAGACTGACGAGCTAGTGCTTTTATGACATTGATCTAAAGACCTAGTTTTGATATTTCTGGAGACGTTTTTGAAAAGGTATTGCTCTAAGAATGAATTGGAATTGAAGACATAACATCATTGTTTCTGACTGGGGTTGAACAATGTCTTCTCTGACTTCTTATTTACGTGGAATGCCGATATTTGACTGGTCAACAGAAGTTAATTAACGCATTATTTTTAGACTTGATAAAAATGTCAAAATGCACCGGAACCAACTCCAAGCTATATTTTTATATAAGCTACATTTTTGTATTATACATGGTGTATTTTTCTTAATCATTCATTTAAACCGGTATATTTTATTTCGATACAGTCTTTAAAATTAGGTAAATACCATAGCTGATTATTTGTTTTATATGCATGTAATACAAACATTCTAATAATTGTAACATTCATAAGAAATAAAGAATAAGAAACACATTTGCTAATAACACAAATCTGTTTAAAATGATCAAGAGTGATCACTGAGGTTTTCACTGTATGTGCTTGGTAAAAATATAAAGACAACACTTTACACTCTGCTATACTACATTTCAGAAATGGAAATGCAGATATTCATTGGATGTTCCCATTTTATGTCTAAAAATATCTTGGGTGGGAAACGTTGACATGTACCCGGGATGCCTGCTTCTTGATGCAGTATGACTTCCTTGTATAACCTCCTGCCATTCTGAAATAAAACAAACTGTTCTGCTTTGCTGAAGAGTGCAGCATAGCAGAAAATGATGCCATTACAGCGTTCGGTAAACATGCCAGTCACCAGAGAGTGCGCTGCGGCCGCTGCAGAAGTGTATCAACATTTAAGTTATTCAAAGTGACCAACGTGTACCTTTTGGCTGTTTTATTTAGAGATGATTCGAAAAATTGAACAGAATTCCAGAGTCATTGCTATGGGTGGATTGCAATGATTTAACAGAACACTACATTTGAGCAACATACATACCGGCTCTGGTACCAGTCATGGAATTACACATCTGGAAACAAATCCATTGGAGCATGTATGAATGTACTCTCTCCCTTACAAACACACACACACACACACACACACACACACACACACACACACACACACACACACACACACACACACACACACACACACACACACACACACACACACACACACACACATGCATACCAGGCTTTGGGTCCTGCTGTGTTTCATAGGATTTAATGGCTACGGACAGATTCCAGAGATCTTATTGTTAAAATCATAATGCTTGTACAGCTGTTTAACCTGGCACTTGCCCTTCTGGATTGGTCACACTCTTTTAAAGGGACCTTTCCCATGATCCTCGGGGTAAGCTGTACTTAGAACAGAGGTGGAAAGTTACACATTTCCTCAACCCGTTCCTCAACAGTTTATAAAGGATATCAGGAACTCATTATGTCCTGTTTCACTATAGTTTGGTTGAGTCCTCGAAAACCGGACAGCGCAATTCAACCACAGTGCTGTTTTTATAACTTCCTATTATGATTCCAAAGATCATAAGGCTCTTGCAAGAAAAAAAGACGAGGAGTATGGTTTTGAATGAAATGTAACCAGCTGAAAGGATTTAACTTCACTAGTTTTACATTTTAATATTACGATTTCATGTGAAAAATAAAGTGATTTAATATGTGTTTTATACATTAGCACTAACTAGCAGGAATTGCTGTATGAGCTCAACATAGCCGGTTTGTGGGCTTAGCTTGTTGTACATTGAGGCATTCGCTGTTGTTTTTTCCTCCAAGAGACTAAGTAAATAACAAAGTTAGCATCACAACAGCTACTTAGTGATAGCTGGTTACGCAGAATAACTGAGGTTTCCCTTTTCCCTCAAAAATATGGTCAACGAAAACCAAACAAAACAATGTGTTGTGCAAAAATCAATGGTTAATTTCACAGTGAGTATTTCCAATTATTATTATTATTATTAATTATTAATAATTAATTATTATTCCACTTAAAATCTAAAATGTCATTGGTAAACAAAGAATACACCAGATATAACTAATTTAAGAAACTGGGATTTCAATGAACTGTTAGGCAATGGATACACTTCCCGATCAGAAATAAAATATGTCTTCAGAAATACATCATAAATGCAAAGGAAACATATAAAACACAAATTCAACAATGAAGTGGGTGCATTTTTATCTCTCTCTACTCTCTCTCTATCTCTCTGTCCATAACTCTGTCACTGTTTGTTCAACAAATGCAGTTGACCCTTTCACCTCTCAAAAAATTATGTTTGTGATGGCATGCTGAGCAAGTCGTGCAGAGCAATGTGCATCTGTCCCCTCGCCTATTATACAGCTAATAAATTGCCACTGTGAAAACATCTAAATGATTAGATATGACCGACGATGCAACAAGATAAGGTTCAGGGTGCCACCTGACACCCTGACATGAGGCCCAAGCCTGTCTGTGGCCCCAGAGGTTTACATCCACCCCAAATCATCAAGGCAGTTAAATCACAGTGCAGCATAGACACAGATTGGAGTTTTAGTTATACAAATATTTTTCTGAGGCAGAGCTGCTCCGAAGGCAAAAATAAGCTCTGACAGCATCGGTTGAAGCCATAGATCTAGCCTCTCAGAGAGCTAGATATCTATAGTAGGCCTAAGTAGTAAAGCTGGGAGCTTTGATTAAAGTGAACTTCCATTTACTTCACCTAAAACAATGTCTATGATGATTTAAAAATGTCAAAAGTCTGGAATCAGCCTGTGGAGGCTGCCATATGTTAAATAGCAAAAACAACAACATCTTAAAGGGGCCCTATTATGCCCATTTTCAGAGTTCATATTTGTATTTTTTGCCTTTACTGTGATATGTTTCAATGGAAAAAGTGCTTTATTGTTCTCATACTGCCTGTGCTGCAGCACCTATTTTCACCTTCTGTCTTAAACCAGAGCCCAGTCTGCTCTGATTGGTTAGCTGGCCGGCTCTGTTGTGATTGGTCAACCGCTTAAAGATGTCCCGCCCCTTAGCCTATTATGTACACTTTGTTGGAGTGCTAGCCAATATTTCAATGAAATAGAAGCCTGAGTGTTACATAGTGATGTCTAAACCATGTACATGCATACAAACCCATATAACACACTACAGGAAAGGGAAACCCCAAAAGGCATAATAGGTCTCTTGATAAACTTTATGGTAGACTTCCAAACAGTTATCCTACATTTATGGAATTTTAAGCAAACCCTATCCACCTATACATTTAGCAGTTATATGAATCTAGCAACTCTGACAATGAGATCACTACATTCTCAATCTAAAAATATGTTAACACAAAAAACAATGTAGGTTTTAATTCAGCCTAGCAAGATTCCTTCATGCTGACATGCCCTTGAGTAGACTTCTGACTTTAATCTTCTACACTGTAGCCTGACACGCACCTCCCCAGAAATGAACTGTGACTACACATTGTGGTAGCATAGACCTGCAACAGATTGGTCTGCTAGGTAGCTAGGCTAGAAGCTGCAACCTAGTATTAGCTAGCTTAGCTAGCCACAGCAAACATCTTCGTTTACATGATTTTATTGAGTTCCCAAATTTTTCAAATCTTATTCAAAAAATATATGACGAATCTCCAACTATTACAAAAGGAAAACAACTATGCAGCTGATGGAAATTACTTGCATAATTACTGTAAATTAATGTAATGCTTACGTAGATAACATAATGCTAGCGTAACAACAAATGGCACAGGCATATTGTTCAAATTAAGGTTGACCTGGTGTATATTGACAGCTGTTTTTTTTATTTACTGGTACAATGTGTTTGATACAATCAACATATTCAATTTAACATATTGTTTGATGGAAATATTTTTGATATTTGGCATTTTGGTTACTGACTTTTAGTTTAGGCCTGTGTGATCTGTTTTGAAAATATGACTTGTGACTCGACAAAATATGTAAAGGCAAATTATGGAACCTGCCAACAGCCAACCCTTCTTCTAACAGTGTCAACTGTTCAGCCTGATAAAGCCAAGCAGATACAATAAAAACAGCCATAAATAACAACGTAGGCCTATTGACCTTTCAGTCTAGAAGGAGTAGATGCAGATTTTTGCCATTGGACATTGCATTAGGTTCTCTGATTATCCATGACTGTAATTTTTTCATGTTTTAATCTTGTTTGGGATGTGTTTTGACCCTGAGAGAGTTTGTAATTATCACCATTTATAAGCTGGAATAACAACTGATCATGCTGGTTGACAGAACAAAGTCGCATTAGTTCATTTCCAGAACGATGAGGCTGAGAATGCACTTGGAGGAAAGACGCCACATCACTCCCCGCTGACAGGGTTTCAAGAAACAATACCAGGAGCTGAGGGGGCATAAATCGCTGTTGCTCAGCATGCACAGCCACAGCAGCTCTCAGACGCTCGGCCTTTTCGATTGTTGCCTGCCTGGCTGATTGTTTACTCGACATATTGATCTTCACTTTGTGACTCACTCCTCTGTATATTATCAGCCGTCCCAGACAGGACTTAATCTGCTCTTCCCATTAACACATGCTAATAGGGAGCCGCTTCTATCTATACTCCTGCCAAGGCTCATCGTGGATGACTGGTCGGTGCGGCCGGCTGCTGCTGGCCCTCCGATCGCCCCTTCTTACGGCAGAGAGGCCAAGCTGCTGTGGGCAGATTTGGGTTTACTGTGTGTTTGGGGGGATTTCAAAGTCTGAGAAACTGGGGCTAAAGATTACAGCAGTATGCCATGACATGGTAATGTCAGATTTGGGGATTTTGCTATGCGGCATTGATGAAAAGCTGCACAAACTAATATATAAGGCAAATATAGTTGCAAGGTTTTGATGGAGAAATAAACCCATGTATATGAGTCCAAAATTAGCTGTGCTGCATCAGAGAGAGCTGCAAATGAGAAGAAGATTCACAGTTCAAGGCTCAATTAAATTCTGGTCCCGTAGGTATGGACACTGGCAGGGTGTGTGCTCAAAACAAAAGAATTGTTCATCAAAATCAGAAGCAAACAATATGAGCAAGGAAATGTGTTCTTTATCTTTGGGATCAACATGTATTACTGAGTAATTTCGTCAGTATACTTCAAACAAAGGCCCAATTCCAAATCGCACCCTACCCACTCCGAGGCGGAGTGACACTCGCAGCTCAACGAGGCTCCCTCCTGTCAGTTGGAGGGAGTAAATACAGCGGCAAGCTTTGGGACGAACTCCCCTCTCTCCGGCAGAAACCGGAAATGCCGTAACTGTATGTAACAACGGTTTCAAATCAGCATCTCTTGGCCAAAAAATAAAACTAATAACTCAAATAAAACTCCAAACATCTTTAATTGTGTTACTTTTTTCTAAAGCTCTTCTAGTTTTAAACCTGATGTTTATACGCTTCTTAGTTTTTGCAACAGACTGTAAATATAAACAACTTTATAATAAAAATGCATAGGTATGACTAAACACACGTATGATCCTAAGTTAAAAAAATATGAGGTTATCATGAGGTTGTTAACATCGCAATTTATCAGTGAATGTTTGCAGGAACTGTTTGTAAACAGCTTGTTTCCTGACGGGCACACACAGCATTGAGTCCGGTCATTCAGGGCAGCAGGTGAAGTCAGCACTGATGCAGACTCGCTGTTTGAGGGCTTGATAACCCACTCCCCCTCCACACTCATTGGTTTGGAACAGCACTTAATGTGGCAGACCCTCCGCGCGAATGTGTAAACGGAGGGGTAGTGTGTAGGGGTAGGGTAAGGGGTGGATTGGAATTGCCAAAGTTTGCTTGTCTGAGGGCTTGACACGATTACCCTCTCACTTTCCCTATTGTGAAACACAGTGAATGACTTCATGGTCAGACATAATCATCCATTTCTAAAATGACAGTCCAGCGATGGGAACTAATCATCAACATTTTTATATTCACAATTAATTGGTATTATAAATGTAATCTAGCATAGTTCTATGGAGCGTTTTAGCCGCTTTTATGTCCTTAGTTTTGGTTTTACAGCATATAGTTACTCCAAAGTTCAATTCAGTTCTCTCGTAAAAGTGGCCCAATAAACTTTATGGGTTTTTTTGGATGTAAAATGCAAAAGCCAAAATCCCAACATCCTGGGAGGGAGTTTCTCTCCCACACACTCCCCCCCCCCCTGCCTGAAAAGTCTCGATTGGACTCCTTTGTTTACTTATGTAGTGACTTCACTACGTCACACTTGCACTTCTATTGGCTAGCGCTTCTACGCATTGTACTAAGGGGCAGGACCAATCACAAGCGGTTGACCAATCACAACAGAGCCGGCCAGCTAACAGACTGGGATCTGGTTTCAGACAGAGGGTGAAAAGAGGTGCTGCAGCACAGGAAGTATGAGAAAAATAAAGAGCTTTTTGAACATTAAAGCATGTAAACATTACAGTCACAGTAGAGACACAAAATACAAAAACTGAAAATGTGCATAATATTTCCTCTTTAAAAAGTGAAGCAGAAGTATACAGTAGAAGCAACTCTTATAGTTTATTTAAGTAGATACAAGTAGGCTACAGTACTTGGGTAAATGTTCTAAGTGAAATTAAAACACTGCTGTCACTTTTATTCAAAAAGACTACTAAAAAAACATGTGATGTTGTTTTGTGTCTTCCAGATGTGGAAAAAGGCAAGCGTTTGCTAACTAACATCAATAACTTTAAAAAGTTGGTAGTATGTCTAAAGATGAGTCCTCAAATGGCCAAACAATCAATTTGTCAATGAATCTTCAGCAATACATTTAGCAAGATGGTATCACGTTAACAATTTAAAAACCAATATGACTGGACACCAACATTGCAATCGACTCTTGTTTAGAACAAATTAGTGTCACTAAAGAATAACGTGTCAATTATTGACCCTGCACAGTCAGCAGTATGCGAGCCCTGGGGGTGAGTTTTGGAGTTCAGGGTGACAAACAGAAGCGTGTGGGATACTTACAGTGGCGTAGAGCCTTCCTCTTTTATTCATGGCCAGGAATCTGTTACTGTAGACCCCTTTGATGCAGATGACCCCCTGAGAAACCGCAAAGAGCTCCAGGACACCTGGGAGGACAAACAACATGCTCTGATGATTGATGGGTGACAGAGTGTATTTTTACAGGGGTCATCCCTATATTCAAAGTCTCTTATGTTCCCGGGGTTCTATGTTCTTTTGTGAGACATTGAAAAGGGCTATATTCACAGTTTAAATTGCAAACAATTTAAGGGAGATTTCAATTGCCGATTCAATGGTACAAATCTGTTCAGCCACTCTGGAGATATCAATGTCTATCGTCAATAAAACTGCCTCGATTGCAATTGGAGGGATTACGTTTATATAACAACAGTAGGCTATAGGCTGTAATTGGCTGCTTTCAAATGTACATTGAGAACATAAAACATGTTAAAGGTTTCTTTATTCTATCATTTTACAAGAATATATAGGTGAAGAACAAAGGACCCCTGGGAACATGGATACTCCTCTTGTCACTTTCCACAAAAAAGGTGCTGCAGAACAGACAGTAAAAATAAAGCACTTTCTTTACCCTAAAGCATGTAAACATGTCACAGACAGTAGAGGCACAAAATACAAAATTGAACCTAGCATTATATTTCACATAATATTGGTCACTGTTTAATACACTTCCACATAAACAGTCTTGTGCTTGCTGGGCGCTCCACTCCTTACTTTAAGAATTCAAGGTAACAGTGATTGATATACAAATGGTCATTTTGTGGGTGAAGTGTTTCTTTAATGTTGTGTGAAAGCACAAACCGGTCAGTGGTTCACATGACACTACTTTTCATACTAACAGTAGCGGTCTAGAGTTCACAGAGGCAGGATCAGCAGTTTGAGCCACAGAAGGGTTAGTGGGTACGATGTACACAACGTACAAGTGAGACCCTCTCCCTAGGTGACTGCTATCGCTAACGCTCTAGAAAAACTGTTCAGTGGCTCAAAGTCCAGCTACATTTCCCAAAACTACTTCACCTTCAAAATTAAGTCAGATCATTTGAACGTCCATCTATGTTTAATGGCGACATTTGCTGCCAAAAAAATATTATGTCGGAGTTTGTAGTGTGTATTGCAAAGAAAATAAAACATTTGCCTTTCACAAACTTAACTTAACCCATTGCCTTGATAGAATGTTTCCTTAAAAGGGATTTTTAGTTGCCTAAAGCAGACATTGTGTGGTGAGAAGAATCAGAATAAACATTTTTTAACATGTGTTCATTACAAAACAATCTGTTTCTTATGGCTGTTTTTCTAAAATGTATAAAAACAACACTTTTGTGATGTTACAGTCTTTCTTGGAAATGCAAACCAGTGGGTCTTATTAACTGTTAAGCCCCAAAGCCACCCTCGGCGGGGGCTTTTTTTTTCTTTCTGACGATACAAACCATTTTATACCAAAACAAAACACAAGTGTCATAAGAAGCATCTAAATGACCCCTGAGCGAAAAATGCTAACGCACTTTGGCACAGAACTCAAGATAAAAGATACCCTTATTACTTATCGTAGCTGCACATACAAGATATCCGATTAAAGCTGAGGTTCCACAGATTATTTAGGTATAGTATCATCACTGAGTGATCCGAACTCGCGACAGGGGAAGCAAACACAGACATCACAACACGTACCTTTACGTAGCTTTTACGGGAGATCGTCTCACCTTAGCTGTCAATCTGATCAAAAGACTTGTTCAATGGCATTCAAACGAGAAAAAACGCGGCTGAATCGGTTAATCCATAGGTTGATAATGTTTCTGTGGATTTGAAAAAATTATTTATAATTCATAATTCCATTTTTATGAAAGATCGGAGAGTAAAAGTTAGCTGCTAATGGTAGCCACCAGAGTTATCACAGCTTCCGGTTTTGGCTATGCGTCAGTCTCACACACACACATGACCAAATAAGGAGTATGTGGGAGTTCCCCTCGATTCCATTGGCTCTTAACGGTTAGAAAGAGATGTCAATCAGCAAAATTGAGCAAGGGGGGCCAGAGATAGGTCAAATCCACCCAAATGACCCCAGAAATGTTTTTTTTGCTAAATCTCTCTAAAAAGGTCAAATTTAACTTGTTTTGCATCAATTTTATACAGGGTACTTATTATATGTTGTAGTTTGGATTCCTAAAGCTTTTAGTCTACCATCCCATCATTCAAGGGTGGTTTTCACTATAAGTAAAAAAATTTTTGGACGGACACAATCATTTACATTTGTTTACTGTGTTCAATCTGAATTTACTTTAAAATTAAAACATCTATATTGATTCTGACACTTCTACATCCAACTCACAGGTGTAACCTTGCTTTGAGAGAAAAAGATTATTAATGTAACCCTTTTAGAAGGGTCAAAGGTCATTTGTTCTGGGAATGTCATTTTTGAGCCTGAGACCTGAAAAACAGGCTCGGGGCTTAACTTAAACATTTGATGATCTCGGCGACCATCACTGCATGCAGGTCAGGATAACAAAGAAATTCACTAACACATCTTACATCCACATCATTAACGGAATAGTATATACAGCATCAAGATCAGTCAAGTATCCCAGAACGAAAGTCATAATAAAAGAACATACTTGTTGTCCTAGACGTTTTTTTCTCTGCAGTAACTGAATCTTGTATTACTTTGAGCAAGACGCCCAGTCTGCTGCTCGTCTCTGGTGCTGTCAGGAAGGATTCAAAGCCACATGGCTGTCGTGTTGAAATCTATGTAACCTGACAACTCTTCTAAAGGGGACCATGAAATGGAGGCACAAGTGCACTTTCACGGTGAGCTTCGGCTGTTTGGAGGAGCGACGAGGGGTCTGATGGTGCAGTAAAAAAAAAAAAAAAAAAGATTTATGACTTTATATACTTCTGGCCATTAGATTCTCACACAGCAAAATTGAACCTTTGGCATTTGAAAGCAGCTGACTTTGACTTTCAAAAAGTGTTTTCAGTCCCAACTCATGTTAATATCCGAAGCGATAATGATTAAAATGTCATCATAAACATATTTTGAAATAATCTGCCTTATTTTAAGTTTTTGTCACTGGCTTTAAGAAAGGAGTTTATTTTGCTTCACACCCATGTTTTAAATTACTTTTTTACTGGAAGTATATCAATTGACCGATAAATCTGTGCAAATACATTATATTGCTCATGTGAGATCATGTGCAGAAAAGCGTGCCATATTGTCAAACTTCCCATTAGTAATAGTTGTATGAGCCTCAAAAATCCAGTATGGCGCTTGAATAACTGGACACGCAGAGACACTGGGCACTATCATTTGCTATTATTTACACTGTAGCCTATTTCAATGTTGTTGTTTTTTACCTCAAAAACCTTATTTCCTTCAAATCAGCTAGATAAAATATTCGAAAAATCATTAAAATGTTAACTTCAAGACAAATAATTCCTCATTGTGTCATTGAAAAAAGTATAATTATTGAATTTGCACCATAAGCAAAAAAACATTGTTTACAAGTGTTTGATGGCAAACAGTTTGAGGATTAAGTAAGACATTAATAATAATAATGATAATAATGATAGTAATGATAATAATAATAAAAGATAATTTGTTTTACAGTCAATGTTTTTTGCAGTGTATCTGGAGTAACATTGTTGTGATGGCAGTCGGCAATCCAACACATCCTCCCTGCTGCACCTGTTACTTCCACAAATAGTCTACCTGCCAACATCCCAGAGAGACACAAACAAAGCTTGTCAACCAGAAGCTCGCTGCTCAGATATTTCACAGGGTCAGGCAGCCTAAGTTTAGGTGCGCGGACCTTACACTCTTCCTGTGTAAATCACTATTGTAACAACCTCCAGTCATGATATCTAAAATAAATAAAAACTCATGGAATCATTCCGAGCGGATGAGGGAATGAAAATCCTAGTGCGCATTCTCAGCGGGACGCACAGGGCTCATCTGCGCGTCAGACGTTTTATAATTTAGTAGTTCAGTTGTTTTTGTGCACCGTGGAGAAACTGGAGTGACTTACTCAGCTGGTTGGGCTCATGGCTGCCGTTGACTCTGCCGTCGGGATGAATCTGGAGATGGAAGCCGATGCCAACCCTACAGTAGAGCCTGCAAGTCCTGCGTCCCGAACTGATCCCCTCCTCCAGAAGTTGGCGCTCCAAAGAGACGTGCTCTGCTCCGGCGGCGGCGCAAATCAAGTGGGCGACGGTCAGAAGGTAAAGAGGAACATTCATTCTTCCAAACAGGAGACACTCGCTATGCCACTCCGAGCATTTTTGGTGTCGCTCCTGAGGTCTGGGCACCGCAAACCGTGCGCACACACGCGTGCAGCGCTCCTGAGCATTACCCCGGCTGCAGGAGCTGGAGTTGTTCTGCTGGCACCGGGATATTTATAACGCCAATGATCTCACTACTCGATGCATGCCTGAGCTCTAAAGGACGCTCTTTCATTCGGATTTTGTCGCCGAGATGCCACTCCTGCTCAGCACCGATCCACAGCAGCGGGGCGTGAAGGAAACGCGACTGACACCGCACATTTTCCAAGGAATCGTCCGCGCCAGGACGCACTGAGCGCGGCATTTTACGCACAGGGAGACATCGTTTTTTAATAGATCGAGGGTGAGATTATGTCATACATAAATAAACTTTGATAAAATGGCACTTTATTTCCATAGAAGAAGAGTTTTACCGACATAAGGACGTTGAAGGCAGGACGGTGGGCTTCAGGCTGCAGGGATCATCAGGTGGTGCAGCAGAGTTTAAGCACTGCCTCACCGGGACACACACAGCCGTATTTATAGGCTTTAGTCCACCTTATCATATGATACGTCCACATGCTTACAGGAGAAGTGCCTGTCAAGCATCCTGGTGTATTCTGAGCAGTGCACAGGAGACATTGTATTAATCAAACTGTGGACTATTGGAGAAAAAAAAACTAACTAACTAACCCTTTTTCTCTTTTTAGAGATTTTACCGAATGAGTTATCCTCTCTGAATAAACATTTATAATGAAAACTATTTTTTAATTTGTGTCCAAGAAACAGAAGCCTGTCCTCAAGCAAAACATTGAATTCCCCACATAAGAATGTTACCTAAGTCAAGTGTCTCCAGCGATTAATGTCACTAAACATTTTAATATTCACATGAATAACTACAGATATTTTGTTTTTTTAAATCCTCAAAAGGGTTAACTTACTGAGACAACATATCATAAATCTTCCCTGTTTTAAACCAAGGGTAAAGTTATATTACAAATTATTTGATGAGATTCTTTCAGAGCAGCAAGGCAACATAGGGTTTGAGCTTGCTGATGATTTATTGCATGTTGTTCAGAATTGGGCAAAAAACATTGATCATTCAGTCAGAGCCTTCTGAGTGTCATATATAAAGCCAAGAGAAACAACCCAAAGTCCTGCTGGTCAGAACGTTGAGTGCTCTAAAGCAGAGGGACACATTGTAAGGCATGTGGGCCAAATAGGGTGCCGGGTGGTCTGCCATACAGCTTGATTATCAACAATGCAATTCAATTTAGTTAATAAATCAGTTAGTTTGAAAATAAATAATTTTAAAGTAGACGACTTATCAAGCTTTTAATGTTTATTCCAGTTTATCTATAAAAAAACATATTAATGTTTGGTTACTAACATTGCTTCTGCCTTGAAGTTGTCTGAAACAAAATCACATATGACATTTTCTTCACAAAAGAAAAAGCACAGGTGAAAATACATACAATGTCCTCTTACGGTTCATGCTGGTTCACTGGGTGACTAATAAAACAAAGCAAATGTTTATGTTACTATCATCACCTGAGCTTTTCCTAAAGTCTAAATGTCAGTTGACAATTAAAACATACTTGTATGTATCTTTCATCCGTCTTTATGGAAACTTATATTCATCCCATCCTTAAGATTGGCCATTGTAAAGGGTTTTTGTCTTAGGAAATGATCCAACCGTTTCAAGCACGCTGAACCCTTAACGTGAAGATGGAATGTGCACTTACAAATACCAGCTTTTGAGGACACTCACTGGATTTGTATAAGTTATTTGACTGCAACCTTAAATTAGCTGTAGATGCATCAGGACTTCTGATTCCCCCATTTCTCAGATTGATTACGGCATTGCTTTTTTTTATACTGTGAGCTGGCATTTGCCTCCAGAAAAACAGTGATGGCACTTAATCTGAGTTTTTAAGTTCTCCAAATAAAAGACGCCTACCTTACAGTACATGCAGTGTTTCACTTTACAGTTATACTTTCTGACGAACCATAGACCATCTGATGCTGTGTACTCGGCCCCTGTAGCACATGTTCAGTGTTAAGCTTATTAATTTGTTCTATCTTCACATGCATTTGCTTTAATCCCGTCCCTCATTGTTTTTGGGGGCCCAGCTATGTTTGAATTTGATTACCTCGCGCCCGGCGGTGGATTACGGCCTGTGTCGGGGCCTAATTGTCTCCGGCAAACGGAGCCAGGGCCGGGCCCACATTACCTTTTATGTAAACAGCAGGGCAGTGTTTAGTCCCACTGTTCTAATGGCCAGTCAGTCCTGCGAGGCCATTTCAGTAACAGTGAGGTAATCCTCCTGAGTCATATAAACACGGATGATCCTGATTGATTCTCCCACCCCATTGATCCCGGCTTTTAGCAGCTTTTTAGTCTAAGCAAACTGCAGACAGCCGGTTGAGCCCCGGAGACGGTGATCAATCTGAGGGTCGAGGCCACTGTTTGGGAGCATCGTACCGACCAAGGCCTTAATCATCAACAAAATGACAGTATTTTTCTGATGTCCAGTGCTGATTAAAGGGATACTTCGCCCTCTAAATCACCATTTATTCCTCTGTGGTACCTGCCTTCACGGTTTCCAAAGAATCTAAGAACGAAGAAAAGTCTTGATGATCACTGTGGATTCAAACGCGTGTCATACTTTTGCTGATACATTCACCTTAGCAGAACTCTCAAGACTCTAATAAAAAAAAGGCTTTCAAAAAAGTAATACCTTTATGTGATAAATGGAGAAAGGAAGTATTTGTCAGAAATGAAAACTATGAAACATCTATGGGTGCCAGCAGTGTTCCGAGAAGGTTCACGTGAGGATATCTGTGATAGGGTTCGTGCTCATGAGTGTATAGGAAAGATCAGATGTTATGCAGAGAAAGATACGCTGTCGTAGTGTCGGACTTTAAAGGTCACCTATTATGCAAAATACACTTTTTCATGTATTTTATACATAAGTATGTGTCCCCTCTGTGTAAAGACATTCTGAAAGTTTCAGGAAAAAAGATTGGCTCTCTCATCACCTGAATCTCCCCCTAGAGCACCATTGTGTTCTTTTTAACCAAATATCTCTCAGAGGGGCGTGGGGAGGGGCTCCTTATTTTCATCTAAACAACGTAACAGGCAGGGAATCAGCACTGAAACAGAGGGGTTTATGGGATTCTGCAATGATCTGTTTGGTGTTTCGAGCCAAACACTTCAGAGACATATTTTATCTGAGACCTATAATATATTCATGAAAAACAGTATAATAGGGGACCTTTAACACGGAACACCAATATGTGTTTCTCATTTCCTAACCACAATCAGAGTTGGGTTCTTGTTAACTATGACCGCAATCTGCCTCACACCTTGGCTTCTTGGTTGACGGGCATGTTACCGTAACCCTGATGTGGAAGTTCCTTAACGAGGGAAGCCGTGAGTGAAATAGTGAAAAACATTTTGGTGATCCATGTGTGATCTAATAAGATTTCTGAACGTACCAAAAAAAAGGATTAAACTAAGAGTTTTCATCTGTGTTACTGGAAAAATAATGTTTTTTTGGCTACTTTTTTTGACAGGATCATCAGTTTTTCTGTGTAATAGACAAAAAAACTCCTCGTACCTCCTGTGAATTTAAACAGGGCAACAGTTGCGGTCGAATAGTCCATTTAGCTTAGGAACCTTCCTAACGGAGTGAAATGACTCGGAAGTCCCTCAGTGGCAGCCATGACAAGTGCCGTTCGAATTCTCTAGATCAGGGATCACCAACTACATTTGTCCAAGGGCTAAAATGTATCCAATAGACACTATCGCGGGCCAGCGATTTTTATATAGTCCACAATGCTAGTGGAGCACGCTCAGGTACTGCGGACCGCATAAAGCTTAGCAGACTCTTCACGCTAACGAAGGATCACTTCTAGGCAGGGTTAGGAGGGTTACTTTGTAAATGTATTCAGTTACTGACTACTGAATACATGCTCTGAAAGTAATCAGAATGCAGTTAGTTACGTATTCAGAATACTTTTGGAATACTTTCTTTTTCCATAACAGATGGGTATGTTTTGGTGAACAGGAGACACGTATTTTACTGTTCTAATGGCTTATCAAGATCTCAAACACAACATCTTGGTGTCATTAGGCGCGTTCACACCGCAGTACTTTTCCCACTTTAGTTCCGATATAGTTACGAAATGTTGCGTTCACACCAAAAAGAGCCGAAACTAAAATTAGTTCATGAGAACCTTTTCACCCCCTTTTCCGTCCCTGCTAGAGAGCAGGGACTTTCGTGGGAGAAAAAGGTTCCTATGTCTGATTGGCTGAGCGGATTGCAAACCACGCCCCGTAAAACTCCCAAAAAGTTTTGTGAAGCCGCCATTTTATTATCCTCGCATTAGCATTATTAGCATTAGCATTAGCCCAGCGCAGAAACGCAGAGAGACTAACTTATGGCAACACAAAATAAAACATGGGAGCGGTGGAGATGAGGAGGTGTCGGCGTTCTGGCGATTTACTCGGAAGGCTTCAGTAGAAGCTGCTGGGAGTCCCAGCAGCTTCTACTGAAGCCAGTCCCCAACTCCGGGGACTTTGGGCGGCAGTATACGCCGTGAAGTGGTTTGCGGCCTGCCAGTAAACCCAAAGCAGAAGAAGAAGAAGTGACGTCAGCGGCTTCATTTGCCTAATCCTCCCCCAGGGATTTATTCCGGTGTGAACGCGATCTGTATTTAGTTCATGAGAACTAAAGAGTTCTCATGAACCTTTGTGGGAAAAGTACTGCGGTGTGAATGTGCCTATTCCAACCCAGTCTCACAGCATTTCGTGTTCACCAACACGATTTTTAATCTATTGATTCGTGTTCACCAACACGATTTGCCCCTTTTTTTCGTGTTGCACAGCACGATTTTAAAAGCATTGTATTTCTACTGCCTGCAGCACGTCTTTTTCTCCGGTCGGGTCGAGGAAGACCAGAAGCTGTGTGGTTCATAAAAACATGTTCTTACTCAATATCAAGCCACAGTTATTGCTTTTATTTGAAATCGTATAATTTCGGACTTTTGTTGCCGTCTGTGAGGAAAATAAATGGGGCTCAGAGCCTCAGGATACTGAAATCTGTATTTTTTAAATCTTTTTTTCCTTCTAATTTGTTATTCTTTTCAAAATAACACACTGTTATTTACTCACCAATAACACACAATTATCCTTGCTTTTATTTATTGGTTTAATTCCATAATCTCTGGCTTTTTTGGCGTCCGTCAGGAACTGAATTTCAAAATAAAAATAACCGGAAACAGACGTAGGCCTATAAGGGACATTTCGAGCATCATTGCGATTGTCAACATTTCTGAGTTTAGGATGGCCGAAGACACTACACTACCCATAATCCCCAGCTATCGTTCAGGACTACAGTCCCCGTAAGGTTACGCAGAGCGTCAAACAGCTGTGTGAAATGGAACGAAACCACGCCAGACTATCCAAAACTGGAATCGAACGCCCCCCCCA